GTTTCTCTATTACTGATGTTTCTATCTATCCCTCTTCCTTCCTCTCTTTCTAAAAAAATCAATAAAAACATTTTATTTTAATTTTTTTTATATATTTTATTGACTTTTTACAGAGAGGAAGGGAGAGGGACAGAGAGCTAGAAACATCGATGAGAGAGAAACATTGACCAGCTGCCTCCTGCACGCCCCCTACCGGGGATGTGCCCGCAACCAAGATACATGTCCTTGACTGGAATCGAACCTGGTACCTTCCAGTCCGCAGGCCGACGCTCTATTCACTGAGCCAAACCGGTTTCGGCAATAAAAACATATTTTAATAAAAAAGAATATTTGCTATTATCTCCAGTCTCCGGTACAACTCTGCTCGCCCCAATCCAGTGGCCTCGCCTCAAGTCCCCATCCCTCAACACTACCCTCCGACCCCCAGCGGAGGCCTGCGGCTGCCTCTGCAGGATAGCACCTGGCGTAGCTGCACCCACCCACCTTCCTGACGGCACCCTCCTCCACCCCTCCCTCTCCCAGGCTCCTCAGGGCCCCTCTCTGCACGTCCCCGCCCCTCGCGCCCCACCTCCAGTCACCCCCCCTTCCTCACTCCCCTCAAAAGCAACCACAGAACACTGGAAGGCATTCTGGAAGGAACTGCTCATTTCCATGGGTTTCTTTTGCTGCCTCAAGTTACTGTTCACTTACTCGGCTTCCAGGTTTCTTATCAGAGTAATGAGCCACTCAGACTTGCCTATATTTAAAAACCTGAATCACTCCAATTTCTCAGTCGAAGACATGTGTTCCGCACGACCTGCAGTTTGACTGGTGGCCAGTGGTATTCTGTCACTGTGCACTTGAGAAAACCGTGACTCACACACTAAACTCCTTTTCCCAGACCCGATGTGCACACGGGAATGAACGCGGGCTTTGGCCAGGCAACTTGGTCCGATTCCAGGGACTCCCCGTCTCCATCAACCCGGGTCCACACTAATCCCGGTGGAGCCGTCAGAACCACGTCCAGCCTCTTCACTCGCCCCCACCTTGCACCCTGCACCGCTTCTGTGTTGGATGGAGACCGAGTCCCTCTGTCCTCCACACGGTGTGGCTCCTCCCGTCCCCGCTTCAGAGCAGCCTGTCCACGTCAGTCTCCAGGGTGACTGTCCCCTGGGCACAGCCACTCGGGGAGGAACCCCGTGCTCCCTCCCGGGGAGCCTCCATCCGGGTGAGAACGACAGGGATCCTCACCATCCTCGGCCGGAAGTCTAGTGATGGAGTGAGAATACCTAACCCTCACCTTAAACTCTCTCTCCTTCTGTCTCTCTCTCTCAAGCAAGGAATCCAAAATAAACACGGGTGTGCAGCTGTCTATGGAGCATGCGCCTGGAGATCGGGGGGGGGGGGGGGGGGGGGAGGGTGCTCAGTGAGCAGCCATGGCCCACGCTGTGCCCAGTGCCCCCCGGCCTCTGAGGTGCCCCCTCCTGCCTGGCCTGGGGACTCCCGACGCAGCCTCCTCTTGCCCCCCTTTCTCACTCCGGAGAGAGGCTCCTCTCTAAACCACCTTGGTTTCACACCCTCTCACCTCACCCCAGAGAGACCCCTCCTCCGTGGTACGTTCACGACGCCACATCATTATGCCCAAGAATCCTTTTTTCTCGTAGAATCCAAAAAGCAAACTGGGAGGGAAGCCTTCTTTCTAAAATAGCATACCATTGGGTGGCCTAAAAGCCACACTGGCAGGAGGGGCTTAAGTCCCAGGACACTGGGACCACTCCCCCTCTGCTCCAAGCCCATTCTGTCTCGTCCCTGTGCCCCAGTCCCCTGTCTAGATGTCCCCTCCCTGAGGCCAAATTCAAGGGCCTTAAGACCATTTCCCACCCTCATGCAACCCCACCCCCGGAGTGCCGTAGTTCCCCTGTGCAAAACTAATCTCCTCCAAGATAAAAGAGCATCTCCAGCCGGAACCGGTCTGGCTCCGTGCATAGAGCATCGGCCTGCAGACTGAAAGGTCCCAGGTTCGATTCCGGTCAAGGGCATGTACCTTGGTTGCGGGCACATCCCCAGTAGGGAGTGTGCAGGAGGCAGCTGGTCAATGTTTCTCTCTCATCAATGTTTCTAGCTCTCGAATCCTTTCCCTTCCTCTCTGTAAAAAAAATCAATAAAATATATTTTTTAAAATAAATAAATAAAAGACCATCCAGTTCTCTCTAAAACACACATTTGAACCTGACAGCCGGGCCTCGCGGAGCAGCCCAGGGCATGCGCCCTGCGCCGAGGCCACCAGGACAGAGGGAAGCCACCTGCTCGATCCCAGGACCCCTTCTCCTTTCCTTCGTTCCTGGGAATGGACCTTCCTCTCCGCCTCCGCCCCTCCCCCAGGACCTTTCTCATCTCCTCCTCGGGTCCCTCCCGGTCTTCGTCCCGTGGGGCTCCTGTTAGGAAGGCATCTGTCTTCATGGCCTCCGATGACATCCGCGTACATGGTCCGCATCTGTCTGTCCTCCCACTCTGCCCCCGG